CCGTCCCGGGAAGGAACCCTGGACTGATCCCACATCCCGAGACTGATCCCACATCCCGGGAATGATCCCGAGACTGATCCCACATCCCGGGAATGATCCCGGGACTGATCCCACATCCCGGGAATGATCCCGAGACTGATCCCACATCCCGGGAATGATCCCGGGAATGATCCCGGGACTGATCCCACATCCCAGGAATGATCCCACATCCCGAGACTGATCCCACATCCCGGGAATGATCCCGAGACTGATCCCACATCCCGGGAATGATCCCGGGACTGATCCCACATCCCGGGAATGATCCCGGGAATGATCCCACATCCCGGCGTTTCTCCTCCCTGCTCTGCCCGCGGGATATTCCAGGGCTTGGTCCCTGCGAATCCCCTGGGAAGGGGCGGGACGCCTTTCGGGGGAAATTCCTTCATTCCTGAGGTTTTTTTGAGTCCCCCCCTGACTCCGATTCCCTCTGTTCCCATCCAGATCCTCCGGCTCCATCCCGTCCCTCGTTCCAGCAGGATGAGAGCGGCGGAGCTCCTGCTGCTGTGTCTGCCAGGTGAGCGTCCCCAAACCCCCGGCGCTGCTCCCATCCCCCAAATCCGCCTTTCCCACAGACATTTTGACCAGATTTCCTCAGTTTGAAATCCCCAGGCACATCTGGAGGGTCCAAACTCTCATTTTCGGGGTCTAAACCCCCTCTCTAGAGCAGAAAATCTATTTTTTTTGTGTCCTCAGACCTCATTTTTACATCCCAAATTTTCATTTTTATGCTCCAAACCCTCATTTTTATGCCCCAGCCTCATTTTTACATCCCCAAACCGAACCTTTAGGTCCCAAATCTTCACTTTTTGGAGCCCAAAGCTCTGATTCTGTAGTTGAAAACTTCATTTTTGTGGACCAAACCTTCATTTCTAACTTCCAAATGCCATTTTTGAGGTCTAAAGCTTCATCTTAATGCCCAAAACCTCATTTTTTAAACCAGATCCCGCTTTTGGGGTGTCCATAGGATCCCTGGTTTGGGGTGTCAGTGGGATCCTGGATCCCAGGTTTGGGGTCCCAGATCCCGGGTTTGGGGTCCCAGATCCCGGGTTTGGGGTCCCAGATCCCGAGTTTGGGGTCCCAGATCCCAGATATGGGGTCTCAGATCCCAGTTTTGGGGTCCCAGATCCCAGATTTGGGGTCCCAGATCCCGGATTTGGGGTCCCAGATCCCAGATTTGGGGTCCCAGATCCCGGGTTTGGGTTCCCAGATCCCAGTTTTGGGGTCCCAGATCCCGGGTTTGGGGTCCCAGATCCCGGGTTTGGGATCCCAGATCCCGGGTTTGGGGTCTCAGATCCCGGGTTTGGGGTCCCAGATCCCGGGTTTGGGGTCTCAGATCCCGGGTTTGGGGTCCCAGATCCCAGATTTGGGGTCTCAGATCCCGGGTTTGGGGTCCCAGATCCCGGGTTTGGGGTCTCGGATCCCAGATTTGGGGTCTCAGATCCCGGGTTTGGGGTCCCAGATCCCGGGTTTGGGGTCTCGGATCCCAGATTTGGGGTCTCAGATCCCGGGTTTGGGGTCCCAGATCCCAGATTTGGGGTCCCAGATCCCGGGTTTTGGGTCTCGGATCCCGGGTTTGGGGTCCCAGATCCCGGGTTTGGGGTCTCGGATCCCGGGTTTGGGGTCTCAGATCCCGGGTTTGGGGTCCCAGATCCCGGGTTTGGGGTCTCGGATCCCGGGTTTGGGGTCTCGGATCCCGGGTTTGGGGTCCCAGATCCCGGGTTTGGGGTCTGAGATCCCGGGTTTGGGGTCCCAGATCCCAGATTTGGGGTCCCGGATCCCAGTTTTGGGGGTCCCACACCGATGGCCGCCCGTGTCCCGCAGCGCTCCTGGTGCAGGGCCAGTACAGCCGCTTCGAGGGCATCACGTACCCCGAGCCAGTCCAGTACTCCCAGTACGACCAGCAGGCCGGTGAGAGCCGGGACATCCCCTGCCTCCATCCCCTCGGCTTTCCCTGGAAAAACACCCTGGGAAAAACTCCTCCCTCTTCTTCCTCTCCATCCTCATCCTCCGCGCCTCTGGAATCCCCAAACTTCCGTCTCTGCTCTCACTGGCAATTCTTTATTAAATCCTTATCAAATTCTTTATTAAAAACTATTTATCCGATTATTTCTTAAACCCTTACCCAATTATTTCTTAAACCTTTATCAAAGTCTTTATTAAACCTTTATCAAATTCTTTGTTAAACCTTTATCAAATTCTTTATTAAACCTTTATCAAATTCTTTGTTAAACCTTTATCAAATTCTTCGTTAAACCTTTATCAAATTCTTCGTTAAACCTTTATCAAATTCTTTATTAAACCTTTATCAAATTTTTTATTAACCCTTAATATTTTTTTTTTAATTTTTATTAAACCTTAATTAATCGGGGTATCTATTAAAAACCTTTTATCCAGTTATTTTTTTGAACCTTTATCCATCCCAAATCCCCACCCGGCGGGAAGCGGCCCTGGAGTGCCTGGGGGGAGTTTTCCCGACCCACCACAGAATTCCAGGGATCTCATTTCCCGCTCCCCACGGGATGAGTTTTCTCCCTAAACCCATCCTGAGGCAGTTTCCTGTTTTATCCCCAGAAATTCAGGATTACTACGATTACCACGGTGAGTGTTTCCCCCCCGGGACCGCGGCGGGGGGATCGGGGTTTGGGGTGTCCCTGCACCGGCTCTGTCCTTGCAGATGTCACCCCCCGAGTCCCGGAGGAGCAGTTCCGGTACCAATCCCAGCAGCAATCCCAGCAGGAAACCGTGCCGGCCCCGACCCCAGGTGGGTGACAGTCCCAGAGTGGTGACAGTCCCGGGGGTGAGTGACAGTCCCCAGGTGGGTGACAGTCCCCAGGTGGGTGACAGTCCCCAGGTGGGTGACAGTCCCAGAGTGGTGACAGTCCCGGGGTGGGTGACAGTCCCCAGGTGGGTGACAGTCCC